CAAACTTGAATCAACTGAGGCAAGAGATTTTAGGAGAATAATTATGCATTTCGTCCATGACTACATCCAGCAAGAAACCGAGAAACCCTTAATGCCGGCCACATGGAGCGCATGGCTGGAATCCAGGCACTAGCAATTCTCCGTTTCACAAGTCAGAAGAGTACTGGATTGACTACTAGATGGACCAAAAATAAATAAAGTAAGAGCAAGCACAGATTCTGCAAGTCCGCACCAAACTACAGAAAGGAAGGTAATAAGGTAATGTGCAAGGTGGTAAGCTGGCGGTAAGGCAGTCTTTAATGGTTTGGGCTTTCAACTTCCCCCTTTTTCTCTCCTCTCATCCTTCTTCCCTTCCTCCTACTAAAACCAGTCAATCCAACGGATGAATATTTTTTAAACTTCAAGAAATGCCTCTCTCCCCTTTCTTAGATTCTTTTTCCCCCCACTTCCTCCTTACACCTAAGATTTGCTGGACAGAATGTCCCTCAGAGCACACATACAGCATGGCTAGTGTTAATGTTGGAATGATTTCAGAGTCGCTTGTGTTATGGTGAGGTTCAGGACTGCTTCAGAAATGCGGCCTTGGACTTTCCACTATGCGTTTCCACACTCGGGATTCATCGCATCATCTTCCGGGCTCTGGGATTTGGATGCACGCTCCAGGTCCTGCTGCTTCTTCAGCTGCTGCATTTTCGTGTTTAAATCCAGTAAAGTTCGGGCCAGCTGATGGTTCTGGAAACGCAATTCCAGCTAAAAGAAAAAAAAAAAGGAGGGGGGGGAGGATTTTATTAGTTTGAGATATAGATCAAATGAAACTGCTCTCTGACTGGACATGAGAAATAAGCAGTAGGTAGGAAAGGAAAATAAGACAAAAAGAAAGATACATTTCTCATCGTACTCTCCCTTTCTGACTGTTGGCTCTGGTTATTAAAGTAGCTTTTTCTACAACAAGGTAAAATCCAGACAAATAACTAGCTTTTGAAATGGCCTTGAAATGAAAACAAAAATAGCTGATGTACAGAGCTGTCCGTGTGACAAATACCTATGCACCGAAGGCTGTTTTCAAGCAATGGCGTGTGATCACAGTGAAATCATTTATCTTTATGAGCTTTCTGAGCCACAGGATAACTGCCCGGGGCCACCTGAGCGCTCAGGATCTGGGCCCATTTACTTGATTACTTGTCATTTCAAGTTTTCAGGATTTTAAATGGCCTCCCTGCTGAGTAAAACCATATAACGACACCTCGGAGGCACATGTATAGTTATGTGTCCTTATATAATCTCACACTTTTCACTCTAGAACAAAGCCTGCTATATAGCAAGGCTGATTCATAACCTCCTCCAATGGGAGTTTATGAGGCCCTTGTGTGTTCAAATAAAATTTTAAAAATTACATCTCCAAGGACAGGTTACTGAGAAGGCAGGCCACCAACAAAGTGTGGTCCAGCCATGTTTTAACCTAAAGCTAAAGAGCAACTATTTGCATATTCCATCAACTGAAGTCATGCTTAATGCAGTCTGTAAAATAATGTTTTCTGTTTACCACCCTCTATGAATTCATCCACAGTAGCCCTCAGGATAAGCCAGGGCACTGTAATAGTAAACTGCAAACACCGCATTGGCGAGTCCTCCTCAATCTGCAAAATAAAATATTAGGCAGGCCTATCTTTTTCTTTTCCTCTGATGCTTATTTTTTTTATTCTTTTGCACTTGGAACTCTTGCGTCTCTGGAAGCAAGAACTAGAAATGTTAGAGGAGACAGCCATCCAAGGCACCCAGCAAACAAACAGAAACAAATCATACAGCCATCGCCATAAAAAGTCCCCATAATCTACCCCAAGACTGTCCTCTGACGTGTTCCTCGGGCTCTAGAGTCCTGCCCTGCTTTTCCAGCTTCATTTCCTAGCACTGTCTCCATGCCAGCTCCTATCACAGGTGATCAGACATCTTGCAGGCCTCTAAGGAAATGCTGTGCTGAGACGCACCTCCATTCGACCCCTCTGTTCTAAGAGGCACTTTGCCAGTCCTCTTTCCATAGAATGCAAATAAATATTAATACTTTCAGAAAAGCCTCCTGCCAGGCATCGTTGCCTCTTAGACATGCTTCCATCGAATTCTATTGACATGTCTCTGATAACATACAGACAACACCAGACTGATGTTGATGAAGGTGGAATTCGACTACTCCTTAATGACGGCATTATCAGTTAGTGCACTGCGTAGGTATCCATAACAGGGTCTGGGTATCCTTGTTAAAAGGTGTAGTGAATGAAGGGATGAATCAGTGAGGTGATGGATGCCTGCCCTCCATCGTGCCAAGTATCAAGGGTGAAAAATGACTGATAATGATTCACCCATCTAAGTAAAGCATGTGTAATTCACACTTATTTGGGAAATTCAAACACTCGTGGTTTTTACACTTCTTTCATCATGGATCCCTTTGAGAGCCTTATGAAAGCTCCAAACCTTCTCTGAGGGATGAAAAAAAAAAAAGATTATATACATAGAAAACTTTAGGTTTAACTCCAGAAATCCAGTCAAAGGACGTAGAAATTAATGCCATCGTTAGTAAGCTAAACAGAACATAATATATGTAACATGACTGATTGTTCATCATTGTCCCTTACATAAACTCCAGTGTAATTCATGATGTCTGTGCATTCCATACATGGGAACTCTAATTCCCATAGAGATCTTGCTAATGACCCAGATCAAAACTGCTTCTAGTGGTGATGATCCTGAGCTAAGTATCCACTCTGCTGCTTCTTTTTTAGATCAGCACATGGACTAGGGAGTTCCTGAAGATGGGGACCAGGGCCTACACTCCAGGAAAATAGCAACTGGCTATGTGTAAAATTCTCTGTTTCCTGTCCAGAAATTCTAAATTCCTTTTATTTTTTTTTCCATTTCTTTACTTGTGCATGCTTCTGTTTGCATGTGTGAGTGCATGCATGCTTGTGCCACAGTGTTCTTGTGTGCGGGTCAAGGAGTGGGTTTTCTCCTGCCACCTCGTGGGAACTGGGGATTGAACTCGGGTCTTCAGGCCTGTCCTCAGGAGCCTCTAAAGCGCCATCTTGTTGACTCAATTCTCAAGTCTCAAGTCTTGATATGTTCTTGTTTGTCCTTTTAGGCACAATCAGTTTCCAAGATCTATAATAATTATAATAACAACAACAGTCAATAAAGTGCATATGGCCTAGGCATGTCATATAGTATCATCTCATATAATTACAGTCATCTCATGAGATTACCTCTACATTACAGATGAATAAACAAACTCAAGTCTGCTAATTCACATTCTCAAAGCTGTAGGACCAGCAAGTATTAGCAGAGCCTGTAATTCCTTACCTTCTTCCCACCCATAACACATTTCTTGCCTAAACCTCCTATTGATGAAGCAACTTGTTGGAATGCTAAGGTTAAAGGTGCCTTAGAGCTTGTCCCATGACCTCACTATGAGTCATCAACAGGTGGGGGAAGGGGGTGACATGTCTCAAAGTAGCAGCATAGAGTGTTCGGCCAGGCCCAGGCACTCCAGTGTGGTATCCTGGCCCACAGCCTCAACCCCCTGGTGTGCAGGGAGGTAGTTTCACTAGGCAACAAAGCGGCTTCCTCATCCCCATTGGGCTTCTTAGACTCTAGATGAGAACCAGGTGCTCCACGTAATACCGCTAGATCAAACATAATGCATTCCTTATCAAATTCAGATTGCTAATACGGTTAAATTGGATTTACTATCTTGTTGCCCTTCTTAAAACCAGAAATGAAATCGATCACCCGCCGAGGTTTCTTAACTGCGTTGTGCAGGAGTGGTTCGTTGTCGCATTCAATGCAGAGAACTTTACAAGTCTCCATTATGCAACATCCATAGGCGTCGCCATTTTAAAGTCTGAGTTCTTTATACTTCTGTCCTTTTCAAATTGCCTAATTTAATTTTTTCATTAAAAAAAGTCATCTAAAGTATCTACACACACTCCTTCCTGTTAAACGCCCAGTCGTTTTCTGAATTCTTAGCAAGGGATAAAACAAAAATAATAGGCATGACTTAGAGAGTTTCTTTCTGATGGACTCATTTTATCCATCTAGGTTGTCGGTTTCATTGAAACGTCTGTCTCCTCACCCTAAACATATTCAGACTAAGAGTTTGCTATGGGGAAGCTTCTAGACTAGAGGATAGAAAACTACAGAAACGGACTGGGGAGGGGCCCCTCTCCGGAGTCTGGGCCAGTCCCTGAACTACATAGGCCAAGCCCTGCTCCATAGAGTTATGACCCAAGGAGGCCTCAACACCGAGTCTCGAGGAAATCAGGCGCCCAGGAGAGATCTCCCACCCCAGCAGCAATCCCGTGGGCGCCCCCGCCCGGGGGTCCTCCTATGGGGTACCCTCGGTTCGGGAGTGCGAGCCCCGCCGCGCAGCCCGCGCTCACCAGCTCCGCGCGCAGCCGGGCCAGCGCGCACTCCATGCGCGCCCGGGTCCGCTCCTCCCGCGCGACCGCCGCGGCCGCCGCCACCGCCGCCACCGCCTCCCGCGCGCGCCTCGCTCGCCCGCGTGCCGCCGCCCGCTGGAAGGCGCGCTCCAGCTGTCGCCGGAGGTGATCCAGCACCGGGCTGGACGCCCGGACCTGCTCCTGCGCCTCGATGCGCCAGGTGCCGCAAGGGATGCGGCGCATCGGATGAAAGGCTGGGGACCACAGGGCAGCCCTGCCCGAGACCCCGTGGAGTCCCCGGGACATCCGCTGTCTGAAGTGGCTGTAGTCACCCAAGCCCATCGCGGTCCTTTCTGCGGCGCTCTGACTGGGGATTTGGTTGCAAGTTGGAGCTTTTTAAAGGCGGTCGGGGCGGGGCGGGGGCAATTAACGGAACAGGCAGGACCCTGGCTGTGGACGCTGTTACTGTCCGGCCACTCAGAGCGCTGCTTTGCTCCTTGTCCATCTCTTGTCTTCTCTGCCTCATAGCAACAAGGGAAGGAAGTCTTGTGACTAGAGGTTCCGACTGGATCATTTTGTGTTTCGTTTTGTTTTGTTTTTCCAGCTCCTTAGAACTCAGGCTTTGAGAATGGATGGAGACTGGAACATTCAACCCATGCAGGTGTAAGCCGAGGAACAAGCTGAAGGTTTGCAGGGAAACGAAGGATGTTTGACACAAAGTCTTCCCAGTTGCCTTATTTCTTAGTACTGTGCGCTTTTCAAATAGTTTCTGGCTTTTTAAACTTTGAACACTGCGCCAGGTGTGATAGGAAGTCTAGATGCCCCTCTGATCCCCTATCCCCAAGAACTGCCTACAGCCCAGGGGGAGAAGTTCGGCCCAGTCTGCAAGTTAGAATAGACTTTCTAATTATCTTTCTACGATCCCCGTGGTCCGGAGTTCTGAAACTCGGTGCTCCGCTCTGTTCTTGGCGACTTCTTTCCCTGTCCACGTTTATGAAAGGGTTAAAATGAAAGGTCAAAACTCTCCCTTGCCGATGGTGGTGGTGGTGGTGCATGGTGCAAGCCTTTAATCCCAGCATTCGGGAGGCAGAGCCAGGTGGATCTCTGTGAGTTCGAGGCCAGCCTGGTCTACAGAGTGAGATCCAGGACAGGCACCAAAACTACACAGAGAAACCCTGTCTCCAAAAACCAAAAAAAAAAAAAAAAAAAAAAAAAAAAAACCCTTCCCTTACTCCAAAGTGTACAATTATATAATTCCCAGTCCAATGTAATCGTGAACTGATTACATTTTTACTGCCTCTTTTGGAGCTAATTGAGAGTTTCTTTACAGGAATGAACAGTCGAAACTTCGGTGATCAGAGACAAACGTTACAAGAAGAAACAACAGTAGCAGACAGCCATTGCACAGTACTCTCCCCAGGGAGTTAAGGATTCCTCTATGAAAGATTTGTCCACGTGTGGAGGCCCACAGAGGTTTCCTAGTGAGATCTGAGCTTGCTTTACCCAGCAGGGCTGCATTAGAGGATGGCTTGACCAGGTGTGTGGTTACCAGGTGATTGAAAAGGGTCTGCACTTTGCTGTGCTGGGGGAGGTCTTTTGCTCCACCTCTTGACATTCCTATAAAAAGCCCTTTAGAAGAAACAGAAGGGGTCAATGGATGCTGATCCAGGCCCTCCTGAGTCTATCCTGTGTTTCTGCCTGTCTTTTATCCCCTCTATCTTTCTATTTAAATATTTCTCATCCCTCTCTCCTCAAGAGTAGCCTGGGGAAAAATAGTTTTCATTGCCTGAAGTGTTGATGGTAGGTATAAAAGATAACAAGAGCTCATTTGTAATCTATTATATGCCTTATATTATACTATAGTATATATTATTATATAATATATAATATATTATTATAGTGCTTACTATATGCCAGGCAATTCACGTATTAACCAATGTAATCTTTGCATTGCCCTGTGAAATGGATACTAATAACTTCCATATTTTTCAAACAGGAAAAGTGAGGCAAAAAGTTCATATGCAATCCCACCAAAGAGTCAGTCACAAACCCAAATGGTCTGCTGGGGATTCATACCGACGAAGTCTGGCTTGTGAGTCTGGCTTGTGCACTCAAATCACTGATATATACTTTCCTCCCAAAGAGAGAGAGAATTGCACTGAGCAAGTCCTCAGACTCTCTGAGCTCATTAAATCCAGCTATGCTGAAATGGCCTCAGTCTTTTTCACTGGATAAGGAATTCGGGTTTCCCAACCCCTGCTGATAATCGCCAAGGTCAATACCTGATAGTTGGCAACTTAAGTATTATAGTCTCAAAAGTTCAGCTAGACGGTTTGGGGGCAGCACAGAGGGGGAAGTAATGAAAGAGATACCTTGATGGGGAGGGACATTTTTGGGGTTAGGGAGAAACCTGGTGCCAGGGAAACTCCCAGGAATCCACAAGGATGAGGAGAGGGTGCCTGAACTGGCCTTCTCCTGTAATCAGATCAGTGACTACCCTAATTGTCATCAGAGACCCTTCATCCAGTAACTGATGGAGGTGGATGCAGAGATCCACAGCCGAGCACTGGGCCCAGCCCCTAGAGTCCTATCCCTGAGAGGGAGGACAGATTGTACAAGCAAAGGGAGTCAAGGTCATGACCAGGGGACCCACAGAGACAACTGATCTGAGCTCATGGGAGAGCCTGCATGGGACCAACCTAGGCCCTCTGCATGTGTGTGACAGTTGTGTACCTTGGTCTGTTTGTGGGGCTCCTATCAGTGGGGTCAGGACCTGACCCTGGTGCATGAGCTGGCTTTTGGGAACTTGTTCCCCACACTGTATTGCCTCTCCCAGGCTTGATGCAAGGCTAGGAGCTTGGTCCTGCCTCAACTTGATGTGCCATGCTTTGTTTACTCCCATGGGAGGCCTTACCCTTTCTGAACAGAGATGGAGGAGGAGTGGATGGGGGGAGGGGGCAGGTAAGATAGGAGGTGGGGGGGGGAACAGGAGGAGAGAAGGGAGGGGAAACTGTAAAATGTAAAATACATGAAAAAAATTAATATAAAAAAATTAAGCTATGTCTGAGAAAGACACTGGACATAGAGCTCTGGCTTCCACGTGCATGTGTGCCCATAGAACAGAGAGAGAGAGAAAGAGAGAGAGAGAGAGAGAGAGAGAGAGAGAGAGAGAGAGAGAGAGAAGGAGAGAAAGAGAGAGGGAGGGAGGGAGAGAGAGGGAGCGAGCAAGCATGGCCAGACATCCACAGAGTCTACCACTTACCAACAGTAAATGATAAGGTTAATGTTTTGTGGTCAGGGTTCTTTTTTTTTTTTTTTTTTTTTTTTTTTGGTAATTTGTTGATGGAATTTGAAAACCAACCCTAGACACTGAACAATATAAATGTTTAAAATGAGTGTTCTGACTTTTGACTGGAATTTCCAGAACATTTACTTCAACAAGAATTTCAGTTAAGTTCAATTTAATTCAACAGAGTGATTGGTACATGTTCAGTATTAAGCCCTGTACCATGTGAGAGAAATACAAAAATGAATAAGATATGGTTTGGCCTCCAGAACCCGAGAACCTGGGGAAACAAACTCATTCATTTAACAATGTGTATTTAATGTCTTATTAAGCATCAGATATTATATATGATGTTCAGGCTACAATAGTAAACTAGAGACACAAGACATTATTTTTAAAATAAGCATATATTATCACATATTAATTATTTCATATATTTTTCAACTGACATGTGACTTTGACTTTTAAGACAGTTTTTTTTCTTTTACACTGGAAAGGTAAATTGAAAGTTAGTGAATGAAGTGTAAGTATAACACACACAGACATTGCAATTAAAAAAACATTGGTTAAACTGGGTGGTGGTAGCACATGCCTTTAATCCCAGCACTCCAGAGGCAAAGGCAGGCAAATCTCTGAGTTTGAGGCTAGCCTGGTCTACAGAGTGAGTTCCAGGACAGCCAGGACTACATAAAGAAATCCTGTCACACACACACACAAAAAAAAAAACTAAAGAAGAAAAAGAAAAATATTGCTTATCTGATGGGGTATAATAAATTAACCCCAAATTCAGTGGCTTAAAAACACTAACTGGCCCAGTGTGGTGGCACATGTCTTTAATCTCAGCACCCAGCAGACAGAAGCAGGGGGATCTCCGAGCTTGAGGTTAGCCTACCTAGAGAGTTCTAGGATAGTTGGGGCTACCTAGTGAAAGCCTGTCTCAAAAAACAAACAAAAAGAAAAGAAAGGGGGAGGGAGGGAAAGAGGGAGAGAGGGAGGGAGGGAGGGAAGGAGGGAAGGGAAGGGAAGGGAAGGGAAGAGAAGGTATGGGAAGGGAAGGGAAGAAGGAAGGGAGGGAGGGAGGGAGGGAGGGAGGGAGGGAGGGAGGAAGGAAGGAAGGAAGGAAAGGAGGAAAGAAGGAAAGGAGGAAAGAAGGAAAAGAAAAAATAAAGACACAATAGCAGGGCTGGGGAGATGGTTTCTCGGTTAGAGCACTTGTCAAATAAGCAAGAGGATCAGAGTTTGGATCACCGGAACCCATACAGATGCCAAGAAGGTATGGCAACCCACCTGTAATCCCACTCTTGGAAGGCAGAGACAGTGGGTCCCCAGAGCAAGCCAGCTAAGGAAACTAGCTGTATAAGAAAACTTTGAGTTTGCTTTAAAAACTCTGCCTCAAGATATAAGGTGGAAGAGCAATCAAGCAAGACTCCTAACATCCAACTCAGAATACACACACACACACACACACACACACACACACACACACACACACAGGGTGTAGGGGGAGGGGCAATATTTATTATTATTCTTCAGTTTCTAGGTGAGTATGGAGATGGCTTGGAGGTAGTCCGTGGCCTTCATGACACTGTAGTCATACATCAGCCAGCTGTGCTGTCCCCTGAAAAGGAATGTCAATGTATGAGGTAGGCAGATAAGGAGAAAAGAACTCACCAGACCAGCCTGGCATTGAAACAAACATGGAGTGTCCAGAATGCTTCCAAAATGATGGGTTGAGTCTTCTTGAAAAAAACAGGGGGTCATCTCACAAACCAAGAAGCAACTCCTGTCCCTGTACTGTGTTTCTTCAATGCACTCATTCAGAGTGGGTCACACAACTCATTGATGGGTCAGGTCACATCGTCAGTTCCAAGCGCAACACGCTGACTGCTTGTTATGCCTGGAACGATACAGTCAGCAGGCAAGGGAATGGCAAATTGGGATTTGATCTCACGGCTCTATGGCTCCAAGGGTCATGTTATTGCCCCTCTGTCACACTTGCCGAAATAGCACCGATTCTGAATTGCTGTCACCTGGACAGATTTTTCATTGCCATCAAATTTCTGCCCTTAAGACATTTCTCTGTGTCCTTTTGGACATTAGGAGGAGTTTGCATCACACATCATGCTTCCGACGTACACAGTCCAGGAGCCAAACCAAAGCTGAGAATCCTTTACACTCCATCTCTGAATCCCTCTAAGGGTATGGGTTGGTTACTAAAATCACCATTTATCTCTGTGACGAATGATGAAGAAAATAATGAGCAAAGTTTACGTCTACATCCTTCAAATAGCACACCTACCTACAGGAGGATGTTTCTGCCTGACCACCTTTCCCTGGGAAATCTTCACCCTAGTTCCTTTACATGTCCTCTAGCAGTGCTCGATGCCTCCCGTCCAAAGTCACCTCTTTAGCCACCCTCTATGACAATTAGTCTTCCAAACAGTAAGCTCTGATTGTTCCCTCTGCAAACAGAATGTCCTTGAGCACTCCTTGCAAAAAAAAAAAAAAGAAACAAATATTTCTCGGGACTTCGGAGAAAAGAGAATGTTCCTTGTAAGCCTTAAAATAAATATTTGTAATATTTTCACGAACAGCTTCATCATTTGGCCCATTCAAGACTCTGTGGCGAGCATGGCCCTTTCATTTTCTGGTTAACTAACAGCTAACAGACATTCCCCTCCGCCTGTGGAATGCCAAAAGCCATTCACTGCCTTCTTCACTTAATTTGCCTGGATTGTGGGAGCAAAGGCTTCCCAGCCCTACCCCTTGCTGACCATGAGACTTTGCATAAACACTCTGGCTTACTTTGTTTGCAAGTAAGATAAGAGACTAAGCATCTCCTCTTTACCCAGTTGTTGGGTAGATAAACTGAAGCCCAGGGCAAGATCCAAACAGCGTTCAAAACATCCATGGGTATGCTTTAAAAAACAAAGTAAAATAAACTTGATGTTTTCCTTAGATTGAAATAAACTACACAAAACTGATTTCTTTCACTAAAAAATGATATTTTCACAATTATTTCTAAATAAACCATAAAACCACTATTTTTTTTTATAGGTTTTTGCTTATAAATAAAGACAAGGCGATAGATATAATCTTGGGAAAAGCACAGAAGGAAATAGACAAGCCAGTTATCTCGGTGAATGGTCTCCGATCCTGTCTAAGGCATGAAGCAGAAGTGTCTGACATTTACCAGGCTGAAAGGCTTACAGAAGAAAGGAAGGCTCACCAAAAGAATGCAAACCGCCGCCACCACATACGGAGCAGGAATGTCCGGCTTTTCCATCTCGGCTTTAACTGTAACTTGTTCCTTTAAGGCCATCAACAAAATGACCAAACCTGTACCGGTACTCTAACGCGCTCCCCAGCCTCAACCAGGCAGCCCCTGTAGCTGTCCATTACAGTTGGGTTTGTTGCTGTTTTCTCTTGTTGGTGCAGGACCCCGAGCCCACTAGTAAATGTTCTACCACGGGGCTTTATTCTCTGTCCTTGGCTTTTAGAGACAGAGTTTCACTGTGTAGCCCAGGCTGGTCTTGAGTTCATTCTGCAGCCCAGGCTAAACTAAAACTCGAATTCTCCAGCTCTACCTCCCCTGGTGCTGCCATTTCAGATTTTCAATAACACACTTAAAACTCCTACTAGTCAAAAGTGGACATCCATGCAACATTTTGTGTATTTTCTATACATTCCTCTCTTCCATACCTTTTCAAAACCTTGGTAACTCAATGTCCACCACAGAGATAATACATGTTGTGTCTGAAGTGAATCACACACCTTTAATCTCAGCACTTGGGAGGTATAGGCAGGTGGATTTCCGTGAGTTCGAGGCCAGCCTGATAGTGAGCTCCAGGACAGCCAGAGCTACATATTGAGACTCTGTCTTAAATAAATAAACAGATAAATAAG